AAGGAGAAGGGGAAGGGACTTCCAGGGGGAAAAGTTGGAGAGAAGTAGAAAGCAAAGGGACTACCTGACCCTTCAGATTTATTTTTGCTGCTATACAGGGGCGGGGTACAAATTAAAGGTGAACCTCCAATAATTAGATTCTATACCTGGCAAATTATAACAAATTTATAAATTTTCCATATATAGAGTCTATTTATTGGATGGTTGTCTTATAATCAAGATTGTCTTCTATTTGAGTAAATATGGTATGTCAAGATTGCACCTACAAACATCCAGCATTCTACTATCTGTCTTTCATAGACACACAGTTACAGTTCAGCGTCAGTTAATATAAATGCTAGACTTAACCAGAAGTTGGTTCTGTTGTTCCCTAGGGTTGCATACAGTGCTTTGCTTTGCAGTAATGAAGCTCATTTATTCAGAAAACTAGCTTCAGCCCTCAGATTCTAAAGTACTGTGCAACAATAAAGTTTCCAATTACCCTGACCTCTAGCTTTACAAAAATTGTCCAGTAAGACCTTTTGTGAAATCAGTGCTACTCTCTCTTGTTTAGTTTAGTGCATACTAAGTATCTTTGCAACCTGGATTTCCCATCAGAAGCTGTTCTCCCAGGGACACTATAAATTCAGAATTACATGAACCACAAGCTGTTCTGTCTCACACATATATTCTACTGACTCCTCCAATTTACTCCAGAGGTACTTGAATACTACAGTGATGAAGTCCATATCCAGTGACAAAAGTAATTTCTTAGGAAATCCAGTGTACTGCATTAAAAAAAAACAGGATTTGATGGCAGGAATATCTGACATACTGGTGAGAAAGTTTCATGAAACTACAGGTCGAAATATTAGCCCTCATCCTTGTTGTTTAAAACGATTAATGTTACTTTAAAATCCATTGGCATCACATTTATGTAAGGTTGCTGAAGGATTTAATTGACAGAACTCCTCTACTGAAACTATATTTGTTAGGACTGAACAAGGTGAAAAACATAAACCTGAGCTGTGCATTTTGGGCCTGTACTTCCCACCAGTTTGGTAATGTTTGTGTGCAAATTTCCAATCTCTAATTAAAAAATAAATTAATTTGTAAAGACTGTGGGGTTGATAAAGCCAATTCGTAGTTTCATATTGATTTAGCAATGGAACAGAAAGCAATTGCAAGTTAGTGGGAATGCATTGTTTATACTCTGGAAGTGCTCAGTGCTCCAGCTGGACGGAAAATCTGAGTAGAGCTCTGAACAAATTTAGAGGTAGATGTGGTCCTTCCCTAAAGAGCTTTATATGCTGGCCCTGACTGGTTTCAAGATCTAAAGTGCTTGTCAGACCTGATTTACTACTTGATGTTCTATCATACAGGCTAGAAGTTTTGCAGGCTAGTGTGATTGCTTAGGCCCTATTGTAAAACATATCTATATAGCCTTCCTTCCCCCTTATCCATGAAAATGATATCTACAGAATCCAGATATGTTCCTTATGTATCTCATACTTAAAAGGAAGAAAACTGAACTCTGTTAGAACAATACAGTCTAAAGGGGAAAGAACAGAATGAAGAAATCCAGAAATTAAAACCAAAGTATTTTTTTAGCCTGCCAGAATAGAATGCCATTTTACCATAGAACATAGAATTGAAAGCTATTTAAAAATTCTGGTTTCAAAAAAGAGACCTGTGAGCTGCAGATTTTATTTTTTTGGTTCAGAATTAATATTTAAAATATATAAGAACACACGCTTGCACCTGTTGCTGTTCCAGTTAAAACATAAGAAAAACATTGTTTTTCTTAAGAGCAATGAAGTGAGAGTGGACAAAGGACTACTCATTTTTCTCCACTAACTACAATGTATCAAGTTTTTATTTGTCTACTACTTCTAAATATATATCCATGGAAGTGTCAACACTTCTGTAGTAGTGGATGACTGGGCTAAAATAAGGGAGGCAAACATTTTACCTGGAAATATGCAACATGGGGTGGAAAGAATTATGTTCTCATTTGTTTCCCTATGAAAAACATGCTGTTTTGAACGTAAAAATGCCAACATTTGTAATGTGCAAATTGAATATGTGAGGACAAAAATAGAAGGGCACTCTTAAAGGTGTTCCACAAAGGAAAAACTTGTGCCATTTTCCTACTATAAGGTTGGTCTGAGAGGCCTGAAATAAATGTTTTGTTGTTAAAAAATCCTGTTAGGTTTTTCTGTTAGAAATCCAAGTCTTGTGTACCCTAGATGTCTCTGGTTGCTTTTAAAATATCAAAATAATGAATTCGCAAGGGTTATAATACTGAAAGTTGAGACACTTAGAAAAAAGGAATTTCATTTTTATTAACATCTGTTCAACTCCAAAAATGTATTATGGTCTTCATCACTGTAAAATCTGCAGGGCTCCCAAGTAATTAAGATTAACACACAATTGCCAGTCTCTTCCTCCTTTGCATAGTAGAGTAAACTTGAAGAGGTGGTGCTTTTTATTGAGTGGGTGGGGTTACCTCAATTTGTGAGATCTTTTGAAAGAGTTTAATTTGCTCTAGAATGGTCTGAGATATCTGGTCCTCCTCTTTTTTGTTAGCTGCAGAGGCCATCAGAGATCTGTCTCCTTCATTTGGGATCCTCCCCTTTTGGTTGCTAGTGTCATTTCTTGTTGCAGTGGAATGTAGTTTTCAGGTGGATTCTTGGTTAAACAGGGAGAAGCCGTCACACAGGAAGCTGAGGTGAGTCTCAGGGAGGACTTTGAATATTAGGCCTTGATTTTGTAAGTAGCCAGCTGGGAGCATGTCAGGGTCAGATGTTCAGCCTGTGTGCTGATGGGTATTTCATGCTGGTTGAAGAGAGAGGTCTCTCTGTTCCGGTTGGAAGATAAATCTAACAAGGGGAATGTGCTTTTTTGTTGCCTGTGTGAGTAAAGGACAAGAAGCTCAGGGTAGTTCTCTTACTGGGAATGAGAAGGGTTGCAAATTACCTAAGAATCTGATCCAGCTTCTTAGGTAATTTGAAGCTAATACAAGTATGCAAATCTTGTATTGCATCTGTTGATTAAAGGAAGAAGACAAGGCAGTCTAGGCACTAAAGCACTTCCTAATATTAATATATACATTCAAATAATTACCTGGCAGGGGAAATACCATGACCACGATGGTGGAAATACCCTGATGAGTTAATGTAGTTAAAATAGTACTGAGTAGTGGAGGGTTGCATGCTTGTCTACTTGCGGACAGGACTCCCTATGAGAGCCTCATAGTTAGCTTCCCACTGTCCAGCTTCCAGTGAGAAGATCTTGGTGACATGCTAACTTTATGGAAATGGGAGACTTCTCCCTAACTTCCTCCTATGGCCATCTGGCCAAGGGCAAGCCATACTCAGGAGCATCCAAACCCCAAGCTTTCAGCCTTGGGCCTTCATGTAGGATGTCTGCCAATGGATTTGAAAGCATCTGAAGCCCCAGGCGGGAGTGGAGGACGTTTGCCAATAGTAGGACCATATTTGGTTCTCAAATGACTCATGGATTTGGAATTGATTTGGATGATTTGACCTGAAAAATTTTCCTTAAAAAAATCACAAAACATTTCAAATTGGACTGCTTTTTCAGTTGAAAACAAAAAAAGTAATACAGTTGTTCTTTCCTTCTTCAGGGCAATTTGTAAGCTCCTGTTGTTTGCTCCAGTACTAGAAATGATGTCTAGTTCTATTAGGTTTGATTTTTTTAAACAAACTGTAATTTGACTGTTCCTTTACTAAACTAGAATCTGCACTATCCTTGTGTGACTAACAATGCACACCCAGCTGATCTTGGCTATTGGCATATCAGGAACTTGGTTAGTTATTTTTCTTCCTTCACTCTCTTCCTCTGCTGTAACTCCTTCTTTTTTTCCTTTAGCACTCATGAATAGTGCACATCAAAAATGCTTCGTGGAAGAGGTATGTTTGTGACCCAACGGTGCCATCTTTTCCAAGTGGTGATTACAACTATGAATCTGTGGGCAGTTGTCAGCTTTAGCACAATAATTCTTCACATCTTCCTAAATAATGCTTGCTATGCAAAGATTCCTCCAGAGGCTAATTTCTCATCTTCTTTTCTTTTTTTTTCTTTTTTATTCCAATAAACCAAATTAAATAAAGCTAAAGTGGCCATTAAAAATTATTTGAATATAGATATGATAAAATGGAGATTTTGTGCTTATGATTTAATTATGTTGTAGAATTCAAAATGCAGTGGGTGTAAAAATGCAAGTTACCTAACTTAAGCACTGAATGGTCAAGTTATTTTCTTTAAATGTGATTAATTAAATACTTAAAAATGTATACTCCGAAAAGTAGACATTGAATAATCGGAGTAACTTTTAATAAGAAATATTAAACAGATGTCTAGTACACCCAACAAACTGAAATAGCTCACCAGGTAAAATAACTTGTATCTTTTTAATCCCCCACCATTAGTCCAAAACACCAAAAATTAGAAAACGTTGTATTTGTTGTTTTAAAGTAAGTTAAAAAAAATCAAGCCTAGGAAAGAAACTGACAAAAGCCAAGTAGGACAAAGTTAAGATTTGTTATGCTGTTCTTAATTCATAAATATTTGAAGAATAAGAAAGCCATAAAAGTATGTCCCTGAACATCCATTTGCTTTTGTTAGTTTTATAGCCTTTTTGTTGTTTTAAGCTTAATGATGTGTGTTTAATATTGTGATAGAACAGTTTTGGAGGTTTCTCCCTGCAAGTTGTTTTTGGAGTCACACAACGTACCCTAAGAGATTATTAAAGCCCAATGTGTTTTGAGTTAATATAAACATTGCTGAAGAATGGCTTCAGCTATTGGAAACTTTTCCTTTTAATACAAATAATTTTTATTTATATATGGCCACTTTTAGAATGTCTAGTTTACGATTACATTTGATCCATAATCAGTTATTTTTATGATGGCTTGGTAAGCATTTTGCTATTGGTTTCTTCATTTTGTAGCCGTAAGTGTACATATTAACTCTTATTTTTTGCTCTTTTTTAACAGCTTCTCGGACTGGTTCTGAGCAGCAGAGAGAGAGAAGGTATGACATAAGTCATTTGTATTACAAACACATGTTTTTCTTGTATTTGGGTTAGAGGTTGTTTCTCATGGCTTTCTTTTATGGTTTTCCTTTCTGTTTCTTTGTCTTAAAACACTGATGACTGGAACAAAACAAAATAATAGGTTTGGCTTGAAAATCACAGGCATTTAAAAAGATTGGGGAGTGTTGTCTTTTTGTTTTGTTAGTTTTTCAAAACTATTTTGGAACCCTATTCCTTTCTCATTGCCCCATTTGGGTGGGAACATTCCATATGGAAAGTATACACATAGATGTCTCTCCCAATATTTAGAGGGGAAGGAGGAGGTCACAGTTTTCCTGTCCTAACTCCTGGAGTAAGGGAGCAGTCTTGCATTACTGATGCTTTTTAAAATGTTTTATTGAAAAAATATATATGGCACTATTTTTCTACTAGGGTACACTAGGCTATTGAGCTGCTGTACTGGATGCTCCCTCAGATTGGATAATTCAGTGGCTAATCAAGGCACAAAATTCAGTAATTTGCTGATGTATTTTTCAAGCTTTTTATTCTACAGACAGCTTCAAAATACAGAGAAATTGTAGATCACACACTCCTTCTAGTACTTTAGATTGAGAGCTAGTTAAAAGACAGGAAGCAAAGGGTAGAGTTAAATGGCCACTGTTCAGGAAAGCAGAAGGTTAGAAGTGGGTTCCCACAAAAAACTGTGCTGGGACCAGTATTATGTTAAGCGTTTTCATCAATGACTTGGAAATGGCGGTACACAGTAAAGTCTTCAAGTTTGCAGATGATACTAAATTATTCTGGGTTTTTAATCCCAAAATGATGAAGAGGAACTGTAGAAGAAAGATCTTGCCAAGCTGAGTGAGTGGGCAAAAAAAAAATGTCAGGTGAACTTTAGTGTTGACAAGTGCAATGTAATGTGCATAGGGGGGAAAAAAATCAATTATACACATTCAGTGCTGCGATCTGACCTAGCTGTTATGACTCAGGAAAGAGGCCTTGGAGTCCTTCTAGATCCCTCAAAATGTCCTCTGAATATTCAGCAGCGACCAAAAAAGACAAATGTTGGGCATCATTACAAGAAGTGAAAACAAAATGGATGACATCATCATGCCACTATACAAATACATGGTGTACCCACATCTTGAATACTGTTCTGGTCTCCCCATTTCAAAAAGTGTGTAATAGAATTAGAAAAAGTGCAGAGAAGGGCAGCCAAGATGGAGATGGAGCAGTCGAATAGCCAGGAGAGATTAAAAAGGCTAAAGCTCTTCAGTTTGGAAAGGAGATGGATGAGGGGGATATGATAGAGGTGTATAAAATTATGAAGGGTGTAGACCAGGGGTGGGCAATTATTTCAAGTGGAGGGCTGCTTAAAGAGTTTTGGTGAACTTCATGAGTAGCCCCACCCCTTGACAGTTGCCCTGGCCCCTTGTTGCCATCTTGGGACCAGAAGTGCCATCCCCTAACCCCTGACCATTGCCACCAGAAGTCCTTCTCTTTAACCCCCAGAAATACTCCCTGCCACTAGAAGCCTCTCCCCACCCTCCCTGGGGGGGGCGGGGGGGGGGGGGGGGGGCTGCCATCTTATAACCAGAAAAATACCAAATTCTACACTAAAAGTCAAACACCTACTATAACATTTTAATTTTATTACAAAAAAGATTTTTGTCATGATTTGTGTTTGCATAATGTATACACAGGTGATTGCATAATAACTCAAAAATAAATTTTAGGTTTGTATATTGTGGTGTGTATGGTGAGGTGGGGGGTTGTGATAGGATGTGGGGGGGGTGTGAGGGGGTGTGGCTGTGTTTGGGTATGTGGGGGGGGAGCCGTGCCCTGCTGGCGCCTGCACCGAGTGCCCCACCTGCTGCTGCACCATAGGGGGAGTGCGGGGGGTCCCCATACCCCCCCAACCTCCCTCACACCCATACCCTGCCCCTACAACCCCCCACATATATACAACCCCCCAACATACCCTATCTGAAGCTTCTCTCCGGTGCTGTGCAGCCCTGGCCGGGAAGGCACCTGGCTCCAGCACGTGGGGCTTCCCTCCCTGCTGTGCAAGTGCAGAGGCTGCACGTGAGTGGCAGGGAGTGCCGGCGATACAGACAGCTGGGGGGAGGCTGCGCTCCTCACTGCGATGTGCAGTGTTGGCCAGAGCCGTGCCCCGCTGGTGCCTGTGCCCTGAGCTCCCCGCCTGTTGGTGCTCCCACTGCCACTGTCTGCCAGGGCTGTGTGCCATGGGGGGAATGTGGAGGGCCCCCCTACATACCCGCTACTCTCCCTCACACCCACATGCTGCCCACCCCAGCTCTGCACTGCCACTGCCCCCTGTCCCCCTAGGCACAGTCTCCACTCTGTTGCCAGCTCCAGTCCCATACTCCAGGCTTCCTCCCAGCTACAGTCCCACCCCCACTGCTTCCTTACCTACTTCCCAGAGCTAGCAGGAGACTGGGGAAGCGAACAGGTCCTGGGGGCTGCGGCGGCAGCAGCCCCACACACAAGTTTCACACTGGCCAGTTGGGCCCTTCTGCCCACGAGGGTGGGAGCAAGGCAATAGGATACGTTTTTGGGGCTACAATTTGTTGGGGGGGCCCCCATAGGCCAGATGAAAGTGCTTGGTGGGCCAGGTCCAGCCCATGGGCTGTATTTTGCCCACCCCTGGTGTAGACGAAGTGCCAGAATACTGGAAGTAGCGAGTAGCCACTGAAATTCGTAGGAAACATTTTTTAAACTACCAAGATAAATTACTTTTTTATGGAACCCATAGTTAACTTGTGGAACTCATTGCCTCAGGAGGTTGTAGAGTCAGATAGTAAAGTTGGTTCAGAAAAGGGACTAGAGAAATTAATGCATGCTGGACCTGTTAATAGCTATTAAACAGAACAGTCACTGATGTTCCATAGATTGCAGCCTGAAAACTGATACCCAGTGTGCAATTCTGTATCTGAGCACTGGTGGATTGGAACACATCCCTCTTGTTAGGGAACCTGTTTATATTCTGAAGCTTTTATTAGTTTATTTATACTGTGGTTAGTTGTGAATGATTGCATGAATCTTTTGGCGTCTACTGCTCCCTGATTGGATAGCTATACAGAAACTTCTAACATGAGCACTCTTCTGTGAAGCCTTGAAATTAGCTTTCTGTGAATATTCATGTTACTTCAAATACAGTCTATGAATGCTTTCAGCAAATGAACACAAGCAGCATAGCTGAAGCAAATTGATTTTAAAAAAATGACTTAATGTTCACAGAAAATTTCTTGCAGCTTTCTGCAAGTTCTGCTTGTAATACTGTGACACACACAGGAATCCAGACATCATTAAATTAATTTTGCATTTATATTTTCTTACTTCGGGCTTAAAGAGATTGAAAGACTATGCATATATAACCCTGGAATGGACTCTGTTTAGTCTACTATCTAGATTTCTAGTGGATAACATTTTTTCTAAAATCTGTTTTATTGTTTCCATTATTTCTACAAAGTAGTTAATAATATATGGCATCTAATAATGGCTTTCTTAGAAGATCCCAAAGCACTTTCTACCACTTCACTGAAGGAACAAACTGAGGGACAGAGAGCCTTATCTAGTAAAGTACTTCAGCTGAATCCTAACTTGAAGATCATGAATACTCTCATTTAAGTCAGTAAAGCAACTCCTTTGCTTAGTTAAGCTCTTAAGTGCCTTGCTAAATAGTGGTCTGAATGCTACAGTCAGAAAGCTTAAATGTATTAATGATTTGGATCGGGGCTGTCCAACTGGCAACCCAGGAACTGCATGCGGCCCATGAGGGGTTAAGTTGTGGCCCGCAGGCACTTACTCAGCCAGTGCTCCTCCCATTGCTCCAGTTGCAGCAACAACTCTCCCTCCCCTCCTCCAGCTGCCCCTTCCTATCTCCACCCCAGGGACAGAGCTAAGGGTGAGTCTAGGTTGCCTAGGGGAGGAAAGGGGGGATCATGCCCGTATAGTACAGCAACTGGGGGGGAGTGACTGGTGCAGTTGTGGGGGTGCCCAGTGAAGCCAGAAGGGGAGGGAGTGAGAATCCTTGCAATGTGCAGCCCAGTGACGCAGGTGGTGGTTTAAAGTACCACAAAAAAAAAAAGCTAAAATGATAAAATCAGCTGATAACGTGGATACACAGATGCGATTTAGCTAGCTTAATGGTGATTTCTGTCACATAGACACAGGAAAAGTGTAACATAGAAACAAGAGAGGCATCACGTGGACAAGCGCCCTCATATCTCACTTGGTGCAAACCCTGCTGGTGAACCCCTCAGGGGCTTAGAAATTGGACAGGCCTGATTTCAAGGGTGGGATTGAGTGCACACTTACAAAATTTGCAGAGGACACCAAGCAAAGTTGCAGATGCTCTATAAGGCAGGGTCAGGATTCAGAATGACTTTGATAAGCTGGAGAAATGGTCTGAAGTCAATTACATGAAATGCAGTAAGGACAAGTGCAAAGTGCTGCACTTTGGGCAGCACAATTACAGATTGGGGAATGACTGGTTAGGCTCTACTACTGAAGAAAAGGACTAGGGGTCATAAGATGAATATGAGCCAAGAGCGTGCTCTTGTTTCCAAAAAGAGCCTTGTTTAAAAATTCAGTATTGGACTGTATTAATAGAAGTGTCACTGGCAAAATGAAGGAAAGTAATTCTCCCACTCTGTTCAGCACTGGTGAAGCACCTGGAGAACTGTGTTCAGTTTTGGGCCTCTTACTTCAAGAAAGATGTGGAGAAATTAGGAAGAATCCAGTGTAGAGCAACTAAAATGAGGTCTTGGAAACATTTATGAGGAAAAAAACCTTAAAAAACCCTGGGATTATTTAGTTTGGAGAAGAGAAGAGTGAGTGTGCATTTAATAGCACCCTTCAAATACCTGAAGTTATATATAACGAGGATGGAGATAGACTATTCCCTGTGACTGCAATAATAGTTCTGAATTATAGCAAGGAAAATTTAGGTTGGATGTCAGGAGGAACTTTCTCATAATGAGAGTAGTTAAACATTGAGACAGGCTATTCAGTGAGGTTGTAGAATCTCTATCATTGGAATATTTTGAGAACAGGATAGACAAATGCTTGGCTGGGATGGTTTAGGCAGGAATTACCTTGCCTTAAGCAGGTAATTAGACTAGATGACCTCCTGGGGTCCCTTCCAGCCCTACTTTTCTATGATTCCAGGAAGTGAGTCATTTTGAAGTCATGTAAGTACCTTTTTGGTGCCCGGCAGGGGGGGCAGGGGCAGGGATTATGAATGGAGCTCAGGTGTCTTGACTTTCATGTCTGTGCTTTAACTATTCGGAAACTTAATGTTCTTTCAGAGGATATTTAAGCCATCATTGTAAAACTTGTTATTCAGCCATTGCCCCCACTTCTTTCAGACGTCCTGAGATTACGATAGTTGCTGCAGAACCCCTCAGGCCATCTTCCTGGTTTCCAGGTGGAAGTCATATCACGCCACAGGGATTAGGATTCCCACCTACTACCTGCCAAGCCCAGTGGAGGACAAGTGAGCTTGTTCCAGCTGAGGTGAGCAGATATAGGTATATGTATGAAAGACATGTATTTGATTTTTAGTATAAAGTTAAAAGATGCTCAGTTGAAAGCATCAAAAATACCATACCTTATGCTGCCCTTGAACTTGATGTGTTACCATCTATGAAAAAGACAAAAAAATAGTTTTGGGGGATTTGGGTTTTTTTAAATTTGCATGTGTTAATGTAAAACGTTCAAATTCATAATAGTTTTTTTAGTCTTTGTATTTGGGCTTGTTAATATTTTTATTCCTCTGTTTTGTAGCTTCCACCATCTTATGAGCAAGTGATAAAAGAAATCAACCAAGTGCAAGTTCATACTACAAATAATAATAATGCTGCTGCTTCTAGACCTACCACTACTTCTGCTACACAGACTGACTTTCCAGAGGAAATAATCAGTGATTTGTCAAACAGTAATGTTAAAAACAACCTGTCTACTATCTGTGAATCTGAAAGTGCTCCAGGTAAGTGTTTTGTTGTCAGAGACTTCATAAGTTATATTCTGAGGATGTTGTACAAACACCATAGTAAATGTTAATACATTAAATAAAAATATTTCATTTATGGGGCTAGGTTTAGCTGTAAGTTATAGTTACTTCTAAAATCTGATGACCTGACATTACACTGAATCATAACTAAAATTTGTTGTTCTTTATAGTATGCTGGGCTGTGTTATATCTGTCAGTGTCTTTCACAAAAACATTACAAGTCTTTGCCCAATTCAGTGGTACTGGGCAATTGCCATGGTTAAACAAGTCCAAAATCAGCCTGATGTAGCAGGGTTGGTATAGGTCACAACTGAATAATATATACTGTGGATTTGGAAATTTACAGTACTGTTTCATGCTGTAGCCAAAAACCTCTCTGTTTCATGCTAAAAAACCATCAGATTTGTGAAATATATACATACATAAATATAGATCTATATCTTGAGATATATCTATATCTCTATAGATATATACACACATACATATACAGGTTTCCCTCGCCAACCATGGTTTTGAGTATCCATGCTTAATATTCTGTATACCATTTTGGCTACCCCAGTATACAGTTTTGAATAACCATGGTTTTCCGTGGCCACGCATCAGCCTGCCACCTGCCATTTTTCCCATAAGCCTTTTGTTTTGCCAACCATGGTTTTACAACCACAGGAACTTTCAGGAACCTAACCCCAGCAGTTGGCGAGGGAAACCTGTGTGTGTGTATTTTGACTTCTGATGGTTCTTTACGTCTGTTGAAATAAACCTTAACAAAGTAATTTTGGATTCATAACTTCATGCATTTTAGAAGTGAGTAGGTCCCTTTTGAAGGGTTTTTTGGTCCTATTTATAAGGAATAATCACAAATGTAATGCAAGCAACAAAGATTTCTGAGTGAAACCGGGGCTTGCGGCCAGAATAGTTACCCAGGCCAAATTATGTATCTTAAATGCGTGTTTTAAGATGTATTAGAATACAGCATGAAAACTTTATTTCTTTTGTCAGCAGTGCAAAGTCCTCTCAAGCCTTCCAGACCTTCCTCATCTTTCTTGAATAGTAATCCTTCAGAAAATGAGACTCCTCTAATTGTCCTTGAAGCATCTGAAGAACAGAATTGCCAAAAAAATCCAACTACTGTGATACATCCAGTGCCAAAACCAAGATCTAAAGGCAATCTCAAACCTATAGTCAAAGCTACTCAAGGTGAAGCACAAGACAATCGGAAAGGAGAGAGCAAACCTACAGCTGAAAGGGAGGTCTCCCCAGATCAGCAACTGTCTCTCTTGGATGATAGCTTGAACAATCACGTGGTGGTGGACAGCATGAATACAGAAAGAAACCAAAATAGTATTGTTTCAAGAATCAAAGTTTTTGAATCCCAAACAAATACTGATACCTCAGGATTATCCAAAAAGCCAGAAATTGCCCCAAGGTGTTTTCCCCAGAGACCTACAGTAACTGCAAAGAAGCCAGTAGTGGCTCCAAAGCCAGGGGCAAACAGGGTTTCAGGAGAGTGGGATTCATGGACTGAAAGGAAACCAAAACCTGTCTCCAGGGAGCTGCACCCTCAGCCTCAAGAAAGTGGGAGCAGTGTCATAACCAAACCTGAATTGCCAAAGAAACCAAAGCCCAGCCTTGTAACGAGTACTAGTAATGATTTGCTTCATGTAAGGACTGAGTCAGCTTCAGAGAATGATGGACAGAAGAAATTCCCAGTTCCTGCTCCAAGGCCACTTGTTCCTAAAAAGTCACTTTATTTAGAAAATCCTGACTCTTCTTCAGCCTTACTAAAACCAGTTTCTGCTGTTCCCAGACTCTCTGTACATACCCAAGCAAAAGCCTTTCAGTCTGTGGGAGAGTTGTCTGCAACCAGTGTCCCAGCACCTCCTTTGCAAAGTAAACCGGATGAGGAAGGAGATCTAATTAGTTTTGATGATGATGTTTTGCCTCCTAGTTCAGTTAGTGCAGGTAAAGAATGTATCAGTTCCGAAGCAGCTGCAGGTAAGCATAATTTATAAGGAAAGAACATTAAAAAAATTATAATTTAGGTACATGTAATCCTGCATTGTGTATTCATAGCAGCGAATTGTTGTGTGTAGAATTCTATCGTTCCTCTTATGTTAAGCTTCCCGTGAAATTACCTAGACTTGGAGACCCAAATAGCTGACCAGTAAGGTTTCCAGGCTGTGTTATTCTGAGAACATGCCAGCTGGATTTATAACTTAATAGCTTGAAAAATAAAAATTATACAAAAAAATATATATATTCTAACTACCCCTTTTAGAATGTATCACAGTCCCTCCTGGGCCCTGGAGACATCTTGGCATTTGCTATCTAATCTATCTAGGCCTGGCGTTTGGGCACCTGTGGTTCATAGTACATTGCTCCTGGGCAGTAGTGTACACACAGATATTTATTTTTCATTATGTCAAAGAGAGAAGCAGCAGTGTCCATGGTGGTTTCATAGATTGGGACCAAACAGACTCAAATTCTGTGCCCCATTTGCTATTACTCATTTGCTGTTTTTCATACATAGTGTCTGTTGTTTATACAGCTATAAGTTTCTTAATTAATACATCCATGTGAAATTACTATTTTCACTTAAAAACTACTAGAGTGTATGAGTCAATTAAGGACTTGTGTCCAGTTTTTTTAAAGGAGAGGCTTTTTTGTGATGTCTTTTACTGAACCAGCTGTATAGTTTGGAGAGATGTTGGACAAGTTTTGAGGCAAAAAGTGCCCTTAGGCCTATGCAATGGAATGTGCTGCAAAATAGCATAGATAGTAGTCCTTCCCTGCAGAAAAAATACTGTACTATGGAGGAAGAATATTAAGCTGAAGAAGGGCACTTTATGCCCAAAAGCTTATCCAGCAGTTCTGCCAACTATACTGTTGGTCTAATAAAAGATACCACAAAAAAAGCCCTTGCCCCTCACACATTTTCTGGACCATCACAGCTTCAACAACACTCCCACCCAATTTTGTAAAGGTATTCAGGCACCTCCGTAGGTGCTGACAAACATGGGGAGGGGGAAGGAAAAAAGTGCTTTACCGGAAGAAGCACCATGTTCATTTACAGATGCTGTGGAGCTGCATCGTAGATCAGATGGGCTTTTTGGCACCTTTATCTAATAGCCGATTCAATTGGCTATTAGATAAAAATGCACCACTACAATGCCCAGTCTATAAAGACGTTGGGTGAGTCAGGTCCAACTAACATGATGCCTCTTCTGGGCATCCGCTGAGCTTGGTGCAGGGGCGCATGGAGTTTAAAGTAAAGCACCTTTTTTTTTTTTTTTACATCTGTAAGCAGCCCATATGCCTAAGTACCCCAAGAGATGAATTTGTGATTCCCGTTGAAGTCTTGCAAACTCAGGTTTCTTCTCATCAGCATGTTCTGGTAGCAATCTGTCAATGGGCCTTATAATACAATCATTTTCAAGCAGAATTCTCCATTGTAAACTGTGGGGAGGGTTCTGCTTAAAAGCAATAGGATGGAAAGGCCCATGGTGTATGAGATCTATTTCTAAAAACATAAGAGATGGGAAATATATTGACAGAGAACGAGAAAGAAAGGCTATACATTTTTTAGCTGTTTAGCTTTACTTATTAGGCACTGCAGCTCTCTGAAAACAGATACATAAATAGTGCATTGCTGTCGCATTAAATCTATATTTATTAATGGCTGTGAGGGCCTGTGCTTTCATTATAATTTGTGTATTGAATAATTAGATCAAGGTTTTTATTTACTACCTCTTTCTTTCTCTTTACTGAGGCAGTAACTTGAGGGCAGATTTAGGAAAGAAACTGTGGAAGGTTCTTGCAAGTTATAGTTCAGTACTGCTGAGAATGACAACATACATAATGTATTTTGGGAACTGCTTTGATGCATTTGTTAACAGACTACTTTTTAAGGGCTGATTCAGCATTCTGTTTGCAATGGAATATGTTGCAAAATAGCATAGATAGGAGTCCTTCCCTGCAGGAAAAGTTTTGTGCCCTGGAGAAAGAGAATCTTGAATGACTCAAGAAATACTTCCTAGTACCTTCCAGGAAAATTAGGACTGGTGATGACAGACTACGAATGGAGCTGTGTCCATTCATGTTTGCCCAGAGGGGCTTTCACTACAATACAGAGTAGCCACTGTGCACATGAAGGTCTCAGAAATAGAACTCCAAAGCAGATAAAACAAAAAAGACAACATTGATTTTTTTCAGATGAACAAAAGAACAAAGATAGACAAATTAGAGGTGCCCTCACAAAGAGGCAAAATTCTTATATTTAAAAATACATAACAAGGCAAATAAAATCTTAGCTACACATACATGCTACAGAGTTCCCCAGCTGTTCAGAAAGGTTAAATAAATATTAAATCTCACATTTGAACCAAAATCCTGTGATCCCACTGAGTGTTGCCAGAGGAAACAGTACTCGCCTGGATAACAGAAAGAGCACTACCCTGTTTATCTTTTTGATATCTAAACTGTTCCTTTTCATAGGTAAAGATAAAATATTTCAGTTTTTTATGGTTAACATTTAGTTGCATGATCCAAAATTTAATTTAACAGATGAATAGTTGTCAGACTCCTCCCAGAAGTAGCTGGAATGATTTTATTAACACAGCAAGAAGGCTTCTTTGATCACCTCATCCTCATCTGCTAAAGAGAAAAGGATCTGACTGTGTTCATGCTTGACACCAGTGCAAATAAGGATTACCTCCAAAGAAAGCAATACATTTTCCTAGCTGTTTTGCAGTCAGGATCACAAGCTCATTTCCTATTTCTTCTATTTGTGTCTGGTAATACATGGTGTTATTTCCAGCACTGTCTTGACAAAAGATCCACAGAAAACCTACCTACTTGTTAAAAAATAAAATAAAATAAAATCTGGTGACATATTGCACTGATATTAGGTATTCTCCATGTTTCCATAGGAGCCTCTTAGGATTTGCAAGATGAATCCACAGTGAAATGCTTTGTAAGGGCAGGAAAAGCAGCTGTAATCTTGCTCCCAATTTCCCAGACCTTTGGATTTATTATGAATAATGACATAGCAAAATGACAGGGCTCCACTTGTTGCTATGACAACCCTAGAACAGTCTTCTGAGCAGTGTTTGAGATGCAGCACTAACCACTTGTTTGTAAAAGTCCAATTTTAAATAGAAGATTTTAATGTGCAGAAATTTTAATACTTTTGAAATGCAATTGGAATCTGTCTGTGAGTTCGATTATTGGTGTTACAATTAGGGCTACACTGCTGCTTTGGCTAAAGGCGGCTGCAAATGTAACACAGGGAACAGTTTTACAGACAGAAAGTGAGTTAAGCAAAATACACCACTTGATGAAACACTCTGGTTCCACAAAAAAATTCAACTAGCTTGCTTAAAAACTAGTTCAGATATCAGTGACATGATCTTTCTGTAGAGAGATGCATAATTCCCATTTTGCAATGGAGGATCGAGGTACAGAGAGATTCAGCTCTGACTTTTGAGAATGCCTGACACCTCCAATGCCAGTGGGGTTCAGTTGGGAGCATTGGATGCTCAGACCTCTTTGAAAATCAGGTCTTGTGCAGGTTCTATCAGAGCCTTTAATATGACCCAGTTCTCTGGAGTCTTAAGTCTACCCCAAAGGTACCCCAGAGGTTTTTGTTCACATAATAAGAAGACTTGAGATCAAGTCAACCAATCAAAATGTCTAGGCATCTAAGAGAAAGTCCTTTAATAAAAGTTTGCAGCATTCAGGCCTTTTAATATATATTTCCAACAGTGTCCAGGGAGTCTTTGCAAGTATTGGATACTTGGAAGTTTTAGTCATCTTCCAGATCAGTAATGCCTCTGACCAATTTGTTATGGAAACAAGTTGTAGACTCCAGGCCCCACTGAAGTTCCAAGACCAGAACAGGCTGTTACTGTTGTTATTTCTGTCGCACCAGTGTTGGCACTGCCTGGTCAGGCAAGGACACATGCCCCTAGTCTTGAAAGGTTTGTGAATTATTGAGGAGTCTTATGCAAGTTTTGTTCATGAATGCAAAGTAAGTTAGTTTATTATTTAAAGTGGGGGTGCTCAAACCTATGGCATCTGGTCTGCAGAGCTCCCCACAGTTTGGGAAATTTGGTGGTGGGGGAGCAGTGGGAATTAATACTGCCACATATCCCCTGCTGACAAATTTGCAAGGTCCGTGAGGCCAGATCCAGACTGGACTGTGGCCTCTCCCCCTGCACAGCTGAATTGAGACCCAATCCCCACCTCATACAGCATTTGGGGGCTAGCCCATGCCCCTTCCCCCTCCCCTCTTTCCCCCTACCGCCACATGGTCAGATCGGGGCTGGGCCACATCTGAATCCAGCCCACTGGCTGAATCCAGCCCACAGATGGACTGGGAACAGTCCATCTGTACCACAGGGCGGAAAGGTTGGGTTTAAATAGAAACCTTCAGATAATTTTACATAGGAAGGCTACATTGTTTTGAACTTCCTGTTTGGACAGTTAGATTCACACCTTTATAAAAAATGCCTGCCTACTCACTGCTTACTATATTCCAGATACAGTCGCCTTCAGTTTATCCAAATGACAAGAAAAAAAGAATTTATTCAATTTGTAGATTTAGGGTAGTCTCTTGTTTGTCTGTTAGGAGAGAACTTCATTTCATTAGCTTCATCCCATCAGTATTACCATTTTAAAGAAGCGAGTGTCTGCTGCATTCCGTATCTTACTAGTTTCTCAGTTTTGTCTCCAGGGAAAACTGAGAGAGACTACAATTTTTTTTTCATGAAATCAAGGACTCTTCTCTCCTTGTGAAATACATAGCAGCAACCATGTATGACATGGTTTCAGTTCTTTGCTCAAAGGAAAATCTAATTCAGAAGATTTGCTAATGTTAGCATTTGAATATTCCCAAGTTACTTAAAAACATATGGTCTGTGATGTGTATATATGTAATAAAAGATCCAGAATTTTTATAAGTGTTTCTAGCAAGTTCTCTCCAGGCCTAACGTCAG